ACAATGGTGGCCTCATCTCTGCAGGAAAATGAGAAGAACAACGGGACATTTTGTGGCTCGAACAATGAGGTTTTTGTCCTGTGATGGGCTCTGTAATGATACTCCAGATCCTTTCTCACCCAGCAGCCAGGATCACACTGTGCTGTTTTACTCAAAATGATGTTGCTCTTCTGCAAAGAATCAGTCATTGGAAAAATGGGAAAAACATGAAACCATGGAACGTGGTGACTCCAGGCCTGCCACGCTCCTGCCCCACACTGCTGCTGGGCACGTTCAAGGTAAGTCCCTCAGAAGTTTCCAGAGCTTTTAAACCCCCAAACAGTCCTTTCTCTTCCCTTTATCTGTCCTTACTGCTGTTCCAGTTACACCACCGGTGGTGCTTGTGTCCATATAGCGGCTTTGAGCCTTTCCAGCCCAACCACCACAATCGAGTGGATCCTGCAGACGACGGTCGACTCAGGACATCATAGAATCATAGACTTGTCAGGGTTGGAAGGGACCAACCCCCCCATCATGGGCAGGGACATCCCCCACTAGATCAGGCTGCCCAGAGCCCCATCCAGCCTGGCCTTAAAGACTCCCAGGGATGGGGCTGCCACCCCCTCTCTGGGCAACCTGTGCCAGGGTCTCCCCACCCTCATGGGGAAGAACGTCTTCCTCACGTCCCATCTGAACCGAACCTTCTCTGGCTTCAATCCATTCCCTCTAGTCCTGTCACTATCTGATGTGTCACTTCCCAGGGCAGCTGAATATGATGATTTAAATACCGAGGGCATGGTAGAGTACCAAGGAGAAGCTTTGAAGGGAAAACAACCTGATAAACCTACTCACAACCCAAGGGCAGCACATGCCCTGAGAGCCACCGGCGGTGGGGACCGGCAGCAGAGAGCTCTTGGTCCCCGAGCTGGGACACCTCCGCTGCTGTGGCACTCCACAGAGGGTTTCTTTTAGCTCCTCAGGAAGACGACTAACACCAGTGTCACTCCCAACAACACCATCACACCGCGTTTCTTATAAACTTGCTCCTCCTCGGAGAGTGCCGGCAGCTGTGGCTCACTCGACATTGCCACGTCAAGCGAGCGCGGGCTGTACCTTGGAGACGAGGCTGGCCCGGTACGCTGCCAGGGCTTTCAGGTACTCCTTCTTGGCGGCTTCTGTTTTCCTCTTGTATGCCTGAAAGGACCAAGCAACGGATAATAATTAATAAAGCAGAATATGCTGCCTGCTCAGTGGGACCCCCCCTCTGCTGAGGCCATTCCCGTGTGCACGTGAAAAACTCATTTCTGCTGTAGAGGAACTGACCCCAGATTAGGCAAATAAAATGCTTGGATTGGAGCACACTGGGATTTTTGGAGGCATCACAAGCCAGAGCAGTCCGTGTGCCTGGGCAGATAGTTATTCATGTCTGCTGTAAGAGACATAACCTGTTTTTATAGGGTGAACTCAATGAAATCACTTCTCAACAGGAACTGGATGGGGAGAGTGTGATCCAGGCTCTTGGAAGAGCCAGATAAAATCCCACTCTTCCATCTCTCCTCTGTAATGGGACATGCTCCACCATCATTTCACGGTTCTGGTGCCCCTTTCCACACAGAGTTTGTTCCTCCACCTGCGAAAAACGATGCAACCCAGCCTGCCTCAAGCAGTGTGAGTCCCCATGGGGTTAAACAGACTAAACCAGGCAGGTGAGAAGAACATTTTAAAATGGAGTAAAAATTTTAGCAAAAAGGCAGAAACTCCTGAGAGCTCTCTCCTCTGCTGGAAACTCAAAGTCCTCCTCAAGTGGCGCACTGAAAAGTTGATTTCAATTAGAACAGATTTGCATACATTTAATTCTGCTTTAAAAACCACCACAGCTTCCAACAATCCACAAGCCGAAGCCTGGTGGGGATATTCAGCTCCTTGCCCCTGCAAATCGCCAGCACCCCAGACTCCTTCGGAAGGGAAAATAACCTTTGAGTAGTTAAACTATCCAGTTAGAGAACAGAAAAATAAATTCTATTAATAGATAATAAATATCTAATAGATAATAAATACTATTAAGAATGGTTTGAAAGCCTTACCTTCATCGCTAAATCAAAGAGATTCCCCGTAATGAAATGTTTTGACTTGACATATTGGAGGTCCCTGACGGTAATTTTCCGAAATGGAGCATTCTCTTAAGTTTGTCTTTGGCTTTCTGGTAGTCAGGAATTATTATATTCGCTCCATTCAGAACAAAATTGCATTTCAAAATGTCAGCCCGGAGAAGCGTTTGCCCGTGAAAAGTAACTATTTCTTCCGACTGTATCAGCTCCCCTAATAAAAGCTATTACCTTTCTCTACAAACCTTCTACCACCGCAACACGGGGGCTACGGCCGCAGCATTTCCCGTGAAGTGGGGATATGAGGTGTCCCCAGATCTGCTGCTGAGAGATGCTCTGAAATGTGGTACCTGAGGTCTGCCCAGCAATGAAAGATGAGTTCCTGCATCTCAGGCTGGCCAGGGCTGGGTGCTGATGTGTTGAAAACATATATTTTATCTTCTTCCCCCTCTATAACTGCAAAATACCAAGAGCATTTTTGCTTTCTGTAAGAAGATGGCGGGAACTCACAGTATTCGCAGCTAGGCAGAGACAAATTCAAACATTAGGAAGACTGAGCAACTTATGGGCAGCAAGAGGGCAGGTAAATGAGACTTCCTCAAGCTAAATGCAGATAAATGAATAATCAATGGATTCTGTACCTATCTTCAACTCCATCACTTGCTTTTTTTTCTGTAAAAAAAGGGAAGAGCAAGAGGGCAAGCCCAGGTGGTGTTTGCTCTGATCCTCCTCTGGTGCTTTCTCCAGCTCTGGAAGGTTCCTGGTGAATTATCTGGTTTGTGACCACAGATGGTTTGGGTTGGAAGGAACCTTCCAAGACCATCCGGCCCAACGTCCTCGCCACGGGGTCACCTTCCACCGGGCGAGGTTGCTCAAAGCTTCGCTGACCTGACTTTGAACACTTCCAACGATGGAGCATCCAAAGCTTCTCTGAGCAAACTCTTGAAGTGTCTCGCCAACTTCGTTGTAAAAAATAATAAATAATGGTCTCTTGCCAGGACTTCTGCATCCACGCCGGACCCCGCTGAGGACAAGGAGGAGCGAAACCACAGCCTGATGCTGGGGAAACGCCGCGCCAAGCTGGAAATCCAAACAACGCTCCTCCCAAATCCTCTGTGCGAAGGCAGCGCTGCTGCACTATTTACAACCTTTAAAACTTTAATTTAAACATTGACAAAACCATGTTATTTTCTAATTAAATCCCATTTTCTCCCAGGGATTTTAATTTCCAAGCAATTTATCAGATTTAAGGATCCTCGAAACGTTTTGCATGTTTTTCTTTCTAACCTGCCATGCCCACTGATTTATTTTCCTTATTCGTTAGCAGGAGGATTCATTAGTCATTAAGCGAGTGGGCGGGTTGCAAGGAGGGGACGGGAAGCAAAAATGGTTAGTGATTATGAAAACAAAAAATCAGAGCTGTAAGAAGCATATGTCGGGATCGTAATCCTGACACCTCTGTGTCTCAGCAAAGCAGCTAGTAATTGTACCGTAATGAAATGTTCTTGTTTGATAACCAGTTAATTAGAGAAGACAATTATTCCAAACCCCGCTGACGCCCACGAGCAGCTCCGCGTTGCATCGGCGCTGAGTGACAGCCGGAGCTGTTACCAGTAACCCCTGCAGAAACGATGCTTTCCAAGCTTAGGAAAAATAAATAAATCAAGGGATCCCCCCAAAAAATCAAGGGTTTCAGTGAGCCCAAGTGTAGAAGGTGTCTGCTGCAATCCTAGATGGAGTTTGGGGCAATTTTGCTTCTAAGAAGAGAGACCACCAGGAGAGATGAAAAGGTCTCCAGGAGGGCTGAAGGACTCACTTGAGCTGGGAGAGAAGACCAAGAGGGGCTACAGCCTCCAAACACGATGCAGTGAAGGAATTTCACCGAACGATCCCCTGCATCTTCTGAGGATAGGAAAAGAAGCAACAGGCTTAAACTGTATCAAGGGAAATGTCGGCTAGGCAAGAGGAAAGTGTTCCTAGCAGTAAGGATAATTAAGCACGGGAAGAGATTGCCTGGGGAGATGTGTAATCTCCACCACTGAGGGTTTAAGAACAGATGAGCTACGCATCCATCAAGAATGGCTTAAGTAGAGATGATCCTTACTCCAGGCAGCAGTATGGTCTGGTTGACCTCTTAAGTCTCTCCTTGCCCTCCTTTCTATGATTCCATGATCGTTTTTCCTCCCCCTCCCAGATGTATACACTTGGATTTTATTCTCCTTGTAAATCTGGAGGGGTTTTCTTGTAATTATTATACACTTCCCCAAGATATCTCTTGGGACATCGTAACTTATGGCTTATTCATAAGATGACTCGAAAGCATTCCCTGCCACACCAGCCTTCTCTCCGCGTACGGTCTCCACACAGACATCAGAAACGCTTACAGCAAACACGGCCACGTCCTCCTTGTTCCTTCCTGGCTCTTCCTCACCTTCTTGCACCCTCCTCTGTACCCCTCCTGCTCCCTTCTGTCCCTCCCCCCATTTAAACCAACTACCCCAAGCTACATTTGTTGCATAAATCTCGATGTCTCTCCTTCAGACCAATACCTATAGTCTGGATTGCTAAATCCTGCGGTCAACAAGCTTGGACATGGGAGGCACCTGTCAAGGACGCCCATCACAAGGTTGCTGTTTAAGCAGCACTCCAATTCCCCCACGCTCTCCCAGCTACAGCATGAGAGCTGTTGAGCATCTGACATCCCTGAGGACACCTACAAGAAAAGGCGCTGGCTATGGAAACTACTTGCATGGTTTGAGGAGAGCTCTTCCTTTATCCTGGTGAAGATGGAGTGCTGTGAAGCAGTCCTTTGGAGAACGAATGGATAATTCATTTCCGTAATCCAGCAGCAATCACCACTGACCAAAGCATCCTAGAAGATTCCTGCTTGCCTCCCTCTGCCTTGGCTTCATGGTGCCTCCTGGGTGTCAATCATCTTTCACTCCACGTGAGGGCACAAGTGTGTTCCCAGGACAACCCACAGAAGACTCCAAGCAGAGGAGGAGGGGGACAAATCCAAGCCCCAACCTCCAATGAAAAGCACACAACAGTCACCCTCCACACCTCTGATCTTGCTCTCCCGAAGAAAAGAAGTCACACTCTTGGAGCTGCTTTTAAGAGCAGTTCTGACCCTCCACACCCTTCCGATCATTATCCTGATCTCCACGAGACCTCTCACGGAACCTCGTTTGGGGTCAATGCTTTCACTCTTCTCCGGTCCATGCCCTTCCCTGACACTCAGGAGATGCTGAAACCTCCTTCCAGGCCTTGGCAACCGGTTGGACCTTTCCAGCCCGTCACTGCCAGGGCTCTGAGGCAGCAGCAGGAAACTGTAACCGGTGGTGGCTCCACTGCCGGCAGCTCTGTTCGATGCTGCAAACGCGCAGTTTGATGGCATCATCTGCTGCGTGTGGCTCCCCTGGGGTCTCTCCCCTGCTCTGGCTCTGCCACACACACAGCCCTACAGCTGGCCCCAGATGCCTCCGTCCCCCTGCAGCTACACACAGCTCCTGTCACCAGGTGAAGCTTCAGGTTCAGCGAGCAGATGGATCTGATGAGATAGGTGATCTACAGTTTTCTGTAGAATGAGTAATTTTCCTGCTGGGTAATTTATCCCTGAGGTGTGAACGCTGTGCTATGCTCCAGGCTGTGCATTTGCACGGGATAATCACATCTGCATCTGGCCACTTGGCTTTACTGAACTGGTCCTGGTGAAGCAGAGTTATCATGAGCAAGAACTCATCTCTGGTACCTTTGTGTCCCTGGTGAAATGCTGGTTTTGTCCAACCTTGCTTCTGCTCACTTAGGAAGGGAAGCCTTGGTTTAGTCTGAGGTTCAGTCAGCAGATTTCTCAGGAGCTTCTTGATGTCTCTGTCTGAGTTTCTAGGGTTTGGAGACCCAATGCTTTGAGTTTGTTGCTGGATTTCCTAATGAAAAGAAGCAGGTTCCAGAGATCCCTGGAACTGCCAGCCTGGCAGCACTCCCCATGTTCTGCCATCGCCAGGCTTCAAAACAACATCCTTTCCCCTCAAAATAAAGTAAGCAATGGGGAGGTGCTCAGAGAGGGAGAGAAGAGAAGAGAAGAGAAGAGAAGAGAAGAGAAGAGAAGAGAAGAGAAGAGAAGAGAAGAGAAGAGAAGAGAAGAGAAGAGAAGAGAAGAGAAGAGAAGAGAAGAGAAGAGAAGAGAAGAGAAGAGAAGAGAAGAGAAGAGAAGAGAAGAGAAGAGAAGAGAAGAGAAGAGAAGAGAAGAGAAGAGAAGAGAAGAGAAGAGAAGAGAAGAGAAGAGAAGAGAAGAGAAGAGAAGAGAAGAGAAGAGAAGAGAAGAGAAGAGAAGAGAAGAGAAGAGAAGAGAAAAGATCCCACCAGTGACTTCTCAGCGTGCTCTGGAGAGTTTCCAGCCTTATCGCCCAACTGACGCCCCGCACCGAGCGAGGACAGTCACTCAGGGCTGGGTGTCACCTGCTCTTGAGCAGAGGTGGCCCATGGTGGGGCTGGTGGCCCTGTGGAAGGAGGGGAGGGGGCTGCAGCCCTGTGGGGTGGCACGAGCTGGGGCCAGGCTGCGAGCACGACGTCTGTCCTGAGGCAACCCCCTTCCCAGCGAGTGAGCGGCGTTGCTGCAATCTAGTGCTCGAATTCTCATTTCTGTCGAGTTGGGCAGCCCTTTTAAACCTCACTGGGTAATGCTGTGAATGCTGCTTTACATCTGCTAATGAAAAAAAACCACCGAACGCCGAGGCACAGGATTCTGCGCGCCTCGAGCAGGGACTGCAGGCGGATTACGACGACAGGTACCCCATTTGATGATAATGGTTGAATTAGCATTTCACTCTCCACCAAAGTCTAAGCTATCTCTTCAGGAACAGCTGCTAAACTATTTGCAAAGTTCAAAGAGTACGCATTAATAATTTTTATTTTTTTTTCCACATTCTTCAGATTCCCATGTAAGCTTCTTAGAAAGGGCCACGCCAGCTGTTGAAGAATGAAGATTACAACATCCTGCTAATGCAGCGCTGGAGACATTTAAAGGTATTCTTACTTATTATGGTGATGCACGCACGGCTACGCTGGAAGGGGTTAAAAATGGGGAAGAAAACCACGGTTTGCCGAACAGGTGTCCTTGAGCAGTACTCAAGGACACGGAGATTGCTAATCCTGTATTCCACAGCATGATCAAATCACCAGGCAACAGTTATAAATAAAAAAAGGCAGGAAATAAGGAAATTTAGATACAAGTGTGTCAGAGGGAAAATGAAGATTCATTGTGAAGAGGCTGAGAAGGGAAGAAGAAGAAGGAACAAAATGACAAAGGCACAAATGATAAACCAGTAAGAACAAAAGAAAAGGGGGGGGGGAAATAAAAAAGCCTCTCTGTGAAATACATGTCTGTGACAGCAGCAGCCAAATCAAAGATGCTCCTAGATTATATGGTTTCTTGCATAATATGCATTCTGGTTCCCGCTCGGTGTTTGTCTTTCAGCTAGTGCACAGGGAAAAAACCATCTCTGAAATGGGACGTGAGCAACCTTTATTTTGCTTGTTTCATCAGGAGGAGAAAGCAAATTTGCTTTGTGGGAGCAGCAGCACCTGCTCAATGGCAAATAAATAGCTACAGCTTTGATATTACAGTGCATATAATCATTAGCGGCACAAATGGCAGAGGATTAACCCTCTGTGTGCCGGCCTGAGCTACCTGGTGAAGAGGTGGCACTTTGTTTCTGCCTGCAGAAATGCTGCAGGGAGGGTACAGCCGGAGTAGGGCTGAGGGGGCACACGCAGGACCACCCAGCCTAGCAGCACGGCTACAAGCCACTGCACCAGGCTTTCTCTGGCACGGGCATGGTGGCCATGCCATGCTCAGGGTGACTCCTTAGTGCATGAAGGAGCTGGGAGGGAGGGATGGGCATGTTTGCAGGCACGTGCATGTCCAAAATGCTGTGGCTGAGCTTGGGTTTAGTGGCCAGCTTGCTTTGAATCTCCTCCCTGGTGGCTCCCTGCCAGCAGGGCAGCAACCAAAATATGCCCAGGGCTGGGGAAACACTGTGCCCCTTGGAAGGTGGAAGATAAGGTTTGTAAACCTCACCTGAAGCAGGAAGGACAGTGACGTAAACAACTGCTTAATAACTGGATAGTGGGGCTGGGGTCTGCACATCAGCCCTCTGGAGACCCACACAGAACATCTCAGGGGCTGTGAGAGATCCAAGTGTGGGACCACAGCCCAGCCCCAAATCAGACCCTACAGCTTCAAAGCCACTCTCTTATGCCAGAAAGAGGGGGAACTTTCCTTATCTAAAACCTTGGTTGTAAGTGAGCAAGGATGTCCAGATCTAGGTCTTGCTTGCCTCACCTGCCATCGCTGTGTTGGCTTTTCCCCAGGTTATCTGCTGCACTGCTTTCCGCAGGACACGAAGATATTCAAAACCACTGTTGTCAACAGAGCTAGGAGCATCGTGCCAGGTGAAACACTCCCCTTTTCCATTTTTCCCCCCTCCCCAGAGCATGATGCTTCTGCCGTGAGCTGAACTGCGATCTGGTGTGGCCACGCAGCAGTCTGGACTCTCAGGTCCCAGCAGGATTTTGGCCAGAGGTGCGCAGCTGTCCTGTCACCTCCCGAGGCGTGACAAGGGAGGGCTTGGCGTGGGCTGCTTGCCCATGTGCATCGTGTCCTGCAGTCCTCAGGAGACAGATCTGCAGGACAGCCAAGCCACTTGTTTTCACATATTAAAGACATTTCCTTAATCCTTTTTTTCCTCCCCCCTTTCTTTTCCTTTTTTCCTTTCCGTTGCATTGCCTGATGAATCTAAACAAGCCTGACGGGGGATACTGGCAGAGGAAAGCAAGCAGGGACTAAATAAACTCTCTTCCAGCCAAACACTTCAGGAGTGAACGTGCCACATCGCACAACCCAGCAACAGGGTCCCAGAGCCAAAGATAAATAGTGTCCCTCCAGCCGGAGTCCCGGGCAAGGAGGTAGCCGTCGTGGGAGAGAAGTATACAGCTGGAGACAAAGCCAGGAAGTTAATATTTAAGCATTCAGACAAGGAACAAATGACTTAATTAAATCAATTACAGAGGGAGAAATGGAGCCACTTAGAAAGCGTGCGTAAAGAAACGACGAGGCTGCTACTGTCTCATAAAAGAGGAGAAGGGAGAGTTAGTAGGGAAGATTAACGGACTGGTTTAATCCCTGCTGTTAATTAAGAGCTGAGCACTTGCACTGCATCATCAGGCTTGCACCAGCACTTCCATTCCTTAAACGACATTCATGGCCGAGCTCAGTACCTGATCTACAGAGACACTTGCAACTAGGTGGAGAGATCGAGGTGTTGGGAGGGATGAAAGGAGGAGAAAGAGGTGACATAACATGTTTTCTGTGCTCCTGAACCTCCCACACCTTGTACCAACAGTCCAAATCCAGGCCTGCCCTGCAGCTTCCCTGGCAGCAGAGCTGGGGTCGACCTGCTGCACGAGGAAGGGATCTCCCTCCCTTCCTCAGCACCAGAAATTCCTGCACGACCCCTCAGTGATCCCTCCGAAGAGGAGGAAAGGGAGGAGCATGAAAACATCAAAGCAACCCTTTGCACAGCATGGAGACTCCAAATGGATCATCAGAAAGGCTTGCAAACCTAGAAGACACCTTGCTTGTATTCCCAGCTTGGTGTGGGAGGAGACCAGTATGATTTTCACTTAAATGACTTTTTACCCTCCCTGTTGCTCTATACTCGGGTGTAGCTGCTTCAGACGCTGGTGAGGGCCACCCAATGGGAGCTGGAGCCAGCAGCCCGGCTGTAGAAGGGCTCACCACGCACTGGGGGACTGATGTGTTTGGGTTCAGGGACACGTCACACACAGTCTCATATCTCGCTCTGCCTGATAAAAAGTCATACTTGCTCTGGGAAAGCATTCACTGGGGTTTTCTCAATAGACAATGAGCAATTGCAGGCTTTTGTAACTGACTCAGCACCAAAACAATAGTTAAAGCAGGACCTAGAAGTCTCAGTGTGAAGCAGATGGAAGGTGGTTGACGGCTTTGGGGCAGGAGGATCTCCTCTGTGAGGCCACTTCAGACATCGCCTCCCTAAGCTTTTAAAGCCTTAATGTCAAATTTGAGGCCAGCAATGTAGAGAGTTAATAGTTTTTAGCCCGTTTGCCATCACTCCTTGTAAGTAAATAAGCAATTACAACCCTGTCTCCAGCTAAGGCCAGGGGAAAGGCCATTGATATTTCTGCAAATCATGATCTTATCAAGAGTAATTAGTTGTCATAAAAATAGTCAGTAACAACAAATGTAAGAATGCAGATTTCTCTTAGAAAAAGGGGGCGGAGGCAAAGCAAACTTAGAGCATCCTCCTGCAGCCCCATCCCTTCCCTGCACGACGTGTGTCAGACTCGCCCTCCTTGGGGGCACGTGGGTGGTAAAGACCCGTCTCTGGGTACCCCAAGTTGGTGATATTGTCATTGCAGCAGCTCAGGGCTGGGAGCCCGGTGTGCAAACCACTTGGGTATCGCTTCAACTAGCCATGGTGTCCTGAAAACAGCCACCGCCTCTGTGCGTTACGCTTCAGTTTAAGCCCCGGCCACGCTCCTAACGTGCTTGGGGAGAGCCTGACGCTCTGGAAAAACACATTTCAACAGCTGAAAGAAGAAGAAGAAAAAAAAGAGGTCAGTCACTCACTTGTTTTTGTTCTTCTCCCAGACTGTCCCACATTGACGCAACGATTTTCGATACATCTCCGAAGGTAGCGTTGGGGTTCTGCCCTTTGATGGCTGCTTGCGTGTCTCTGAAAAACAGGGCGTAGGCTGACACGGGCTTCTGGGGCTCATTGGGATCCTTCTTTTTCTTCTTCTTTTGGCTTTTGGGCTTTTTGCCCAGGTCTGTTGATGGCCTTTTCTCTCCGGTAACCTGCAAAACCAAGGGATGAACCTTAGCAGTCAGCTGGGACTCGGTCGATACAAGCCCACGGTTGTGAGCCATCCATAATTTGTTCCACACTGCTAACAGGTATCGAGGAAAAAACATCCAGGAATTAAGCTATTTTAATCTTATGTATAGTTTGAAACTCTCAGGACAAGGGATAATGGTTTCCAACTGAATGAAAGTAGATTTAGATTAGATGTAAGGAAGCAATTCTTCACCCTAAGAGTGGTGAGAGTCTGGCACAGGTTGCCCAGAGAAGTTATGGAAGCCTCATCGCTGGAGACACTCAAGGCCAGGTTGGACGGGGCTTTGAGCAACCTGCTCTAGTGGGAGGTGTCCCTGCTCGTGGCAGGAGGATGTCACCAGGTGATCTTTAATGTCCCTTCCAACCCAAACCTTTCTGTGATTCTACGACTCAACACTTTTCACGCACTGGTCCGGGTGCAGCCAGACGACCGGCACTGGCTGTATCCATGCCGGATGGCCTGGGGGTGGTTAGCCCAAGGGGAGCAGGACACAGGCAATGGTAACTGGACTTGGTGGCTGCTGGAAACAGGGATGTTTCCAGCGATGGTAGCACAGAACAAGATCCTGTGGCTGAGCCTCCTCCGGGATGCCTCGGCCAGTGTGTTGAATCTACGGGACCACAGAAACCTCTGTGTACAAAGGAAAAGACCCCTGGAAAGCACTTGGACATACATCAAAGCTCTCAACTCATTAACTGTGGTCAGTGAAAGCTCACGCTGCAGGAAAGCACCATTATTTTATAGCGGAGGAAAAACTAAATACACCAGAGGTTAAACGGGGCAGAGAATAAAACCAGTTGCCAGCAGTTGGCTGCTGCAGTCTGGATCTTGGCATCCATGAAGGTCAAACAGGGCACCAGCACCTTCACCTGCAGACCCACCAAGTGCTCAGCCGCTACCTGCCGGCAGCAGTCCCTGCTCTACCAGCTCCATGGGCTGATTCTATTACCTAGTCTGTCACTCAAGAGGTCTGAAAAAAACCTAAAAAAAAAATAATAGAAAAATCAATTGACACAGGTCTGAACACCAAACCTGTGCCTCCCAGTGAGGTCTGGGAGCAAAAGGCCTCATCTCCTGATGGATTTACCGATTTGCTTGTGTGCTTGGAAGCGCTGGGATTTAAGAGGCTGCACTTCGGCTGGCCAGGAGGAAAGGGCAGCAGCACTCCTGCTCTCTGCTCAGCAGCTCTTGACTGGTCATTAAGTTCAGTATCAGCGTCGTGACATTTGTCAAACAGACAGTGACCATTAGCGAATGAGCAGAGAGACTGAAAAAAAAAATAAAATTGCATTTAATTTAAAATTGCCCAATTGGGCTTGAATGGGAGGCCCGGAGGTGAAAGGCCAGCTTGCTAGGAGGAAAAAAAAAAAAGAACAACAGGACTTCAGCCCATTAGCAAGTGAGACGGTATTTTAACTAACTGCAATCCTGTTTGATTCACTGAAGTGCCATGGGGAGGACCTGCTCTCCTTGCAGTCGGTGACCAAGCGAAGGAGCCGGGAACAGGCGCGATGAAACCACCACCACGACGGCAGTTTTACCCTCGGTCCTGCTTAGGCAGCATCAAAGAGCAAATGATATTTCTGGAAAAGGCTGCCTGGAGCCGTCAGTTCCCAGGAGGGAGCAGAGCAGATGGGGACTTTGCCTGGTTTTCCCGGGGTTTGCCAAGCACAGGATGAGACAACAGCTCAGACCTGGGCAGCAGAAGATGCTTGAGCAACCTATGCCGTGTTCATGGCCAAAGGCAAGACCCAACGAGCCAGCGGCTCACTGCCGCGGGGCAACTGCATCCTCTGAGGGGTAAGCCACAGGATGACGTGCGTGGCCACCAGCCTCTGTGTGGACATTTAACACCAGGCATGGACTGGGGCAACTCACTGGTGACAGATGTGATCTCATGAACTGGTAGCTCGATGCCTTCTTAGATGTTGAACCTGTGAAGAGCAGAAACCTTGTGGACACTACGATTTTCAGAACTATGGAGGGAGATCGCTAATCTGACTGGAATCGGGGTGCATGTGCACCCCCCAGAGCAATGAAGCACCTAAAGGCACCAGTGAGGCTGGGAGACCTCCTAAAGCTATATGTTCCCTGGCTCAGAGGATCTGCTGAGCATGACCTATCTGCTGGCATAATTTCTTATATGTGTGACCTTCTTGGTGACAAGATTAATTGCTGCTTGTTAGATGCTGCTTTGATGACTTGTTGCAGAAAGACCCTTAAAGGCCCTGCAAAAAATGACCAATGGGTGAGTACAGCAGCTGTGCAGACAGAGAAATCAAACAGATTTTCAATCACGTGTATCCCTTCTTTTTACAGTTCTGTTCCGCTGAAGCTGTTTTAGCATCCACATGTACACTCTGCTTTGAAATGTCCCGATTCGAAGCAAAAGCTGCCAGTGGATGAAAAACTACAGGACTGACGGAAATATATTTGCCTGGATTTCCACGGAAAGGAAAATGTTTTTTGTTCAGTTTTCCTAGTTTTCCAGTCTCTGCACTGTTTGCTGCTCTGGCCACACCTTCAAATCCTGTCACAACCATCTATTTTTGCAGGACAAGGTTAGAGTACCAGTGCTTCTGGTGTCATCCTCAGATCAGTACCTACTAGGAGAAGGTTTTCCATGAAAGCCTTGAATCCAAATCCCTCAGGGAACCCAGTGACTGACTTGCAGGCATGGACACCCACTGGGTGTTGAGGAAGCAACCCTGCAATTGCTGCAATTCGCCCTCAGCGAAAAGCAGACCAAAGACTCAGGGAACACAGTGTGTAGGAGAAAGGGCCCTGGGGGTGCTGGTGGGCAGCAGGATGGCCATGAGCCAGCAGTGCCCTCGTGGCCAGGAAGGCCAATGGCTTCCTGGGCTGGGTTAGAAGGGGAGTAGCTGGTAGGTTGAGAGAGGTTCTGCTGCCCCTCTGCTCTGCCCTGGGGAGGCCACATCTGGAATGTCGTGTCCAGTTCTGGGCCCCTCAGCTCCAGAGAGACGGAACTGCTGGAGAGAGCCCAGCGCAGCCCCAGGGATGATGGAGAGAGTGGAACATCTCCCTGGGGAGGAAAGGCTGGAGGAGCTGGGGCTCTGCAGCTGGAGAAGAGGAGCCTGAGGGGTGACCTCACTCATGGCTATAAATATGGAAAGGGGAGGTGTCAGGAGGATGGAGCCAGGCTCTTCTCAGGGATGTCCAATGACAGGACAAGGGGCAATGGGTGCAAGCTGGAGCACAGGAGGTTCCACAAAAATACTAGGAGAAACTTCTTGGCTGTGAGGGTGCCGGAGCCCTGGCCCAGGCTGCCCAGGGAGGGTGTGGAGTCTCCTGCTCTGGAGACTTTCAAACTCGCCTGAACGTGTTCCTGTCCGATCTACTGTAGGTGATCCTGCTCTGGCAGGGGGTTGGACTAGATGATCTTTCGAGGTCCCTTCCAATCCCCGACATTCTGTGATTCTGTGATTCTGTGATTCTGTGTTGTTTGCTTTACTGATGCATTTGGAGGAAGACGGGAGACAACCAAGATGTCCCTCAAACCCTGGGCTTCTGATGTCCCGCTCAGCAGCAGTTGTGTTGGCGGCAGAGGCAGATTCGGTGTCACTGAGACATTGCTGACTACCCGAACAACTGCCTGGACAAACTGAAGGGCAGAAGACTCTTCCTCTTTTAATTTCCGTGTGGTATCTTTTTCCTAGAAAGCCATGTCCAGTAAGCTCAGTTAAACTCCATTCTGCGTTATTTTTCTTTCATTTCCTCTATCTGCCACCAGAAAACTAATTTTGCACTCAAGCATTGGCAGAATCTGAGCCCTGAACCTGCTTCGCTCATCGAAACCTCCATCTGCAGCTTGATGGACCCAGCAAAGCCCAAACCTCAGAGCAATTTATCCCTCCCTGAAAACCATCACCTGCCGTTCTCTCGCTGTCTGTTAAAACAGGCGGGGCTACACGTACCTTATAATGTGACTCTGTCTCCTCTTCCTGAGTAGAACTGGAGGGAGATGGTGTAGCAGACTTACTTCCCGGGGGCGAGGGGGAACTGTGGGCAACACCGCTCCGCATCCCCATCTGAGAAATCAGCTGCGACTGGCTGAGAGCGCTCATGGGGCCGGCTAACATCCCGGGGCGATTGATCAGGGGCACTTGACGGTTGGACTCATAGGATGTGGCATCCGAGTGGACCATCTCCTGGATCTGAGTTAGGAGAACATCACGGTGTCATTGAAAAACGTATTTATCTCTTTATTGTACCATCAAATCACTTCAGGATGAACTCGTATTGACGACTTAGAATTGTTCTACACAGCTGGTAGAGTCTTCCTTGTGCCCCCTTCCAAATGAGCCAAAAGCAAGCACTGAGGGCACCTCTGCTCCTGCCACCACCCTGCCCACGGGGACTCCAGAGAGGTGACACATCGCCTCTCTACATAGCGAAAAGTTGAGGGATGGGAAATTTTTGGCCAAGTCACTGGCAGAAGGGAGGGTGTTGCAACGACCTGGCATTGCGACGTCCAATGACGGGACAAGGGGCGATGGGTACAAGCTGGAACATAGGAAGTTCCACAAAAACATTAGGAAAAACTTTTTCCCTGTGAGGGTGACAGAGCCCTGGCCCAGGCTGCCCAGGGACGGTGTGGAGTCTGCTGCTCTGGAGACTTTCAAACCCACCTGGACGCGTTCCTGTGTGACCTACTGCAGGTGATCCTGCTCTGGCAGGGGGGCTGGACTAGATGATTTTCTGAGGTCCCTTCCAACCCCCGACATTCTGTGCTTCTGTGATTTCTGGAGCCTTGCTGCTGCACGCATGAAGCCACGGCTGAGCACCATCACATGTTGTGTGAGGGTATTTGGGGCCCGTGGCGGCCACGCCAGCCCACAACCTGCTCCGACCACATTGATGTGCCCAAAGCTGTGACACAATCATCAAGCCAGAGGTTTGTGCCCCCCCAAGCCCCAAAACATGCCCCGAAATGGACCCCGAGGTGTGGGGGCAAACTCTGCTGGTGGCTACCACCTCATTACAACTCTGCCTGGAAATGATTCTTCCATTTTTAAATATTGCAAAAAGCTCCAATTCCACCTGAAATAAATGTAGCAGGAAAAAAACCAAAACTAAACAAAAGTCCAGACAAGGGCAAAGAAAATTATGAGCTGCCTCTTAAAGATTTCCCAGAGAGGGAAGGAACCTGAAGCGGTGCTTGTGTGTGCATGCGTGTAGGTAAGAGATGAGGAAGGAGGCTACGTGGTAGAGTTGTCCCCCCAAATAAAGAGCTTCCTAACACCTATTTATCTGTTCTCATAACACGAGAGCGAGGGGCCATCTGATGGAACTAATGACACACAGCTGCAGGGACGCACGGACACGGCACAGGCCATCGGTACATGTGCTGCCTCCGGGGGCTGCTGAGCCCAACGCTCTTGAGAGATTTGAAAGAAAAATGATATATATATATATATCTATGCTTGGCTAATAAGAAATGCCGAATGCTACATTTGACAAAATAAAAAAACCTTGGGGGGTGTACATCCCCTTGTGTCACAGCACAAACCACAGGTCAAGTGGTTGGGTCAGGCGGGAGCAGCAACAACCCCTGTCCTGGCCAAGGAGGGAAGGTGAGACGAAACGTGGACAAACCTGGCCACGGGTGCATGGAAGGTTTTGGGGCTGCCCTGCTGCCTTGCTGAGCCAAGACACCATTTCCAGTTTGTACCACTTTCCCTGAAAAGCCCAGTTTTCACCCCAGGATCCATCCCTGACCAGCCAAGCTGCCTCCTGCCCCACAGCCTCATCCAGCCCTGGCGGAAGCCAGCGGGAGGGAGAGTAAGCCCCGCCTGAATCCTTGTCCAGACTTTCCCCCTTTTATATTAATCTGATTAAGGTTAACATGAGCTTAAAGACCCAGGCTTTATTTATTAACAACCTTCCACTTCCGATAAGCCTGCTGAGGTGCAATCCCTCATTACCGGGGAGGCTGTCAGCTCCATCGGCAGCAGATACAGAAAGGAACCCAGGGAAGACCTGCAAGGGCTCGGCAGGCTTCAGAGGAAATAAATCCAAACGCAAACCCAGATTTACTGCTGCAGGTCAGGAGTCAAGAGCTTTACACGATGCCCGACAGCATGTGCTGCTCTCTTTCGGATTCCCCATCAGCCGAGGAGCATGTGGCAGGGGACCAGACTTTCCCAGACCTGTCCTTTTTCTTTATTGATTAGGAAGTGCCGGGATTTGACGTGCAGGAAGGAAAATAACGTCTCGCATTCTCACTGTTGTGTGGGAAAACCTGGCCAAAAAGGCATCGAGGACGTGCACGCTTGCAGCCAAGAGAGATGAGGCTGGACAAGGGGCTTGGGCAGCAAAGGAGGCAGAAGAGAGGCAATTTTTTGCATTTGCAGCTGATTTTGCAAACGTCCTGGGAACAGCCGGAGCTAAGACAGGCAGCAACGGGGACCCAGCAAGGTGGGAAGACAGGGCAAGTCACACGAGCAGCAAGCTCCTTCCCAAATTCCAGTGAAAAAGGTACGTCGGTCTTGGATTTTGTCAGTTTAATCCAGACCTTTCACGTTGGAGAAGATCTGCCAGCTTCTAAGGAAAAGAATAATTTACTGTCCCTATTTTAAATTTAAATGAAGAAAAAAAGTTTAGAAGACGGGTGTTTTAGAAACAGGGAAGGCTATGAAATGTGGCTTAAAAAATTTTAAAATTTAAAATAGCTCATTCACATTTGCAGCCACGGCAGTCTCTTGGGTAAACACTGTATTAAGACAATTTTTTTGAAACTTTTATTATGTGGCCAATAGACCACAACGGCTCCATTTATCCATTAAATATGTAATCATACACTTTTTCTTTACAGTGCATGTTATTTATGCATCAGAGCAGAACAAGTCCAGGAGCGCAATTATGGATATGGGACATGTGCTGCAAATCCTGATGAAAATCTGCAGGGAAAAACCAGGAACCTGAGCCCTGGCTCAGAGAATCCATCCTGCTGACAGCAACCCAAGCTTAAAAAGCAGAGATGGTGCATTTTTCCTGGGACATCTCCCCCCTCTCTGAGGATATCTCAGCCCAGAGGCCTCCTCCCAAGCTGCCTATTTCTTTACATCCTTAAAAACTGGTGTTTTACATAATACCTTCGCTAAATATTGCAAACTCTCCCCCATCTCTGTCTCTTCTCCCACTGGGCCAGGAGGTTTTGGAGAAGGACACGTACAACTACAGGTGACCATGGCCTCCCTTCAAGCTGGGGAAAGGGTTAGTCCTGCCTTCCCTGAGCTATTTCAGGGGCTTCAGTGATGGACCCAAAGTAGATTATATCCCCCCCCAAGAAAAACACCCAAGGGAAGAGACCGAGGAGCAGGATTCAGAGATGCTCTCCTGCAGCAAACAGCTTAATTAGGCAAGTAAATGATGAATAAAATTGTGGTGACGGCAAAGCAAAACGAAGGAAGGTAACAAATCGAAATGGAACCATCTCTCCTCCCGCAAGACAGGGGTCTCACGGGATGCAACTGCAGCCAAGGGCTGCGCCCGCACCACTCCCCCTCCAAAGTATCCAGCATCCCCGCAGGGCCCGATGGAGGCACGGGCATAATTAAATAACCACCCTGCCTGTGGGATTAGCTCCGTCAGCAGGACGGAGCCAGGGCAGAGCCCGTCTCCATCTCGGGCATTCAGCGCAACAAGCTCGCAAAAGGCTGGGGACGTGTTTGCAGCCTCCGCTGAAAAGATATTTTGCATCTCAGAGGAAGCATGAGTGAAATGTGATGTAGTCACAGCTAAAGTAATTAAGTGCATCTTACTTAGCAGATTCCCAAAGGCTGTGCTAACTCAAAAGACAGTTTCTTTTATTTTTTTTTCCTCACAATATTTCAATTTTTTTAATGAATATGCATATCAGGCCTATAAACGCTCCAACTCATTCTGAGAAGGAGAGGAGAAAACAGGCTGACAAACGGCACATGCGCCGCACTCCTCGTTTCTGGGAGAAAGGTAATGCAGTGTGAGGGGCAAAACGCCGCGAGGGACAGCCTGGTCGGGGACCCAGGCACTCCGCTAGCAAAGACAATGTTTTGAAAAGTGCCAAGCTAAGCTTCAAGTTAACTGCCCCCCCAAATCCGTACAGCAAAGGCAGCTCCTTGCAGCAATAAGGGCTACGGTATTAGCTGGCAGAGCTGGGGCTCAGGTCCCGGGCTGAGGCAGGGACAGCTGCTGTCGTTGAATGTCCTCTCCCACAAAATCCCAATTCCCAACCGCAGCCCTGAGGCAGGTCCCACCCCTGCTCTCGCTTTGCATGGCATTTTTCTCCTCCTCCTCTCGCTTTCCTTGGTCTTGGCCACACCTTGAAGCCAATCATCATTTTTTGGTGGCACAAGTACAAATTCACAGGTTCTGCCTTATTCCCCCACAGTATTTTTTTTTTTTTTCCCTTGTTGCCTACATAGAGCAGCTCCAGCCCCATCAGCTGGGCTGTGATTTGTGCCGAAGCATCTGCAGATGTTACCCAGCAAAGGAAGACATTGGGCTGGAGTTTCCATATGGCGTTGGCTGACTCTCGCCACACCGCAGCCCCTCCTCGAGCTAAAGTGGAGCCGTGTAAAGCGGGATGGGAAAAGATGACGGCCAAGGCTGGCGGCAGCAGGCAGACAGCCCAGCGGGCATCGCCCCACGCTCCGGGGAGACAAGCACATGGGGAGCACCAGGCTTCCCACCAGGCTTGGAACCAGGACTTGGGGGAGCTGGTGGATGAAAAGCTGGATGTGACCTGGCGCTGTGCAGAAAGGACAGCTGCGTCCTGGGCTGCCTCACAAGCAGCGTGGCCAGCAGGGCGAGGGAGGGGATTCTGCCCTTCTGCTCCCCTCTGGGGGAAGACCCCACAGGCAGTTCTGTGTCCAGACTTGACAAGTCCAGAGGAGGCCATGGAAATGGTCAGAGGGCTGGAGCACCATCCCTGCGAGGACAGGCAGAGAGAGATGGGGTTGCTCAGCCTGGAGAAGAGAAGGCTCCAAGGAGACCTTATAAGGGCTGCAGGAAAGGTGGGGAGGGACTTTTTACAAGGGCATGTAGTGACAGGTCGAGGGGTGACGGCTTTAAACTGAGAGAAGGCAGACTGAGATCAGACATAAGGAAGAAGTTCTTCACCACGAGGGTGGTGAAACGCTGGCACAGGTTGCCCAGAGAGGTGGTAGAAGCC